GACCCACCCCCAAAGCCAGATGGATCCAAATGGCCTTCTGATGGCTCTAGGGGATTTTCCTGTTGATCTGGCTGGTGCTTCTGTCATTGTCCTGTTTGAGCTATGGGATGAGGAAATGACCAGGGTGGTCCACACGATTGTTCCCAGGCACCCTCTCTCAAGTATTAGAGCCCAGGTAGCCTCTTGGTTTACTGAGGGGATGTGGGCAATAAAAAGGCAAGGGAGGCTGCAGTCACACACGCCATTTGGAGCAGAGGGGAAGTGCCCCTGTTTCCTCTGGAGGAATTTGACTCGCAGTTGCGAGATCACACATCCCTTTGTGCTGCAGGCTCAGCCTGTCACTGTTTGATCAGATGCCACCATGTGCGAGTAGGTTTTTTTTTTGCTGTTTCTTTCCCATGCGCATAAATGAGGAATCGCACCTCTGCATTGAGGGTTCCCCATGGGGTATGCTGTTATGAGCATACTGCTAAGCGGGGGGGGGCACCGAGTTGGGATGGAATGATCAGACCATCCCGATGGCTTGAGAACAAGCTTGAGCATTCAGACAGGGGAAAGTCCATCCATAGCCCATCAGCAAGCATTAGGACCGGACTTTCCCTGGTGTTTTTAACTCCACTTCTGTGGTGGAGCAGCATGGGTTGCTGATGACTGCGGGACCTTTCCCAGATGTTGCTGTCTGGTTGTGCCCTTTAGCTCCATCAGGCATTCACAGCTATGTCGGATCTAAAGGTGCATGTGACTGCAACCGGAGACAGCTAGAGCAACAGTGGAGGAAGAACGAATCCCCTTTGGTGGCCCTTACAAAGGCATAAAGGCAGGGTATACTTTTTTGGGGTACATTTTTAATATGTGCATGTGTGTGTTTGTGTGCACCTGGAAGTCATGGTGACTTCTGGTGACTGACTTTGTGTACACCTGGAAGTCACAGCAGCCTCTGGTGATTGATCCCCCACTGGGGGCCTGGAGGATATTAGAGAGGTGGCTGAATAAAGCCTGCCCCCGCCTCCAGTATTCCAAGGAGGTCTCCCATCCAAGTACTTGCCAGAGTTGACCCTGCTTCGCTTCCAAGATCTGCTGAGATCAGGCTTGCCTGGGCTATCCAGATCAGGGCAAGGCAGGGTATAAATTTTGTGAATTAATGATAATAATAAAAATACAATAATAAAAGGAAGTAATTAATTTTAAGTGATCACTGTTGAAGGAATTGAAATTGAGAAAGACTTTCTGTTCCTTGGCTCAACCATCAAGCGAAAGGGAGAACCAAGAAATCAGATGGATATTGAGACTGGGAAGGGCATGGAGGAACTAGAAAAGATGCTTTAATGTAAGGATGTGTTGCTGGCAACCAAGATTAAGATTTCATACCATAGTATTCCCTGTTACTGTGTATGAATGTGAAAGTTGGACAATGAAGAAAGCTGACAGGAAGAAAGTTGATTCATTGGAAATGTGATGTTGGAAGAGAGACACCATAGACAGCCAAAAAGGCAAATAAGTGGTTTCTAGTTCAAATCAAGCCTGAACTCTCCCTAGAAGCTAAAATGACTAAACTGAGGCTATCATACTTTGGTCACATTGTGAAAGGACAAGATTGACTGGAAAAGACAATAATAGAGACCAAACATGAGATGAATTGACCCAATCAAGGAAGCCATGGCCATCAGTTTGCTAGACTTGAGAAAGGCTGTTAATGATAGAAGAAGAGAAGAGATTGGATTTATACCCCGCCCTTCACTACCCAAAGGAGTCTCAGAGTGGTTTACAAACTCTTTTCCCTTCCCCTCCCCACAACAGACACCCTGTGAGGTAGGTGGGGCTGAGAGAGCACAGACAGAAACTGCTTTTTCAGGAACAGCTGTGCCAGAACTATGGCTTGCCCAACGTCATCCAGCCAAGCGCAAGTGGAGGAGTGGGGAATCAAACCTGGTTCTCCCAGATTGGAGTCCGCTCACTTAACCACTACACCAAACTGGCTGATGTTGTGGAGATAATTCATAGGGTCACCATAAGTCAGAAGTGACTTGATGGTGCTTAGCGCGCACACACAGCCGGATACAATGATGGAATGAGAGATGCCAAAGCCCTCTGACCCCTCCTCTCTTGCGTTGTCCTCTCACACCTGTCACATGGCCTTCCGTGGAGACACATGTCTCTGCAGGTCTCTCCTGTAGAGACAAGGCCCTCATGCTCCCACACACAGGGTGCCAGACAAGCTGGCCATTTGTGATAGGGAAAGTACTCTTTAGATGAGGCTTCTCTCTCTTCTTTTGACTGCAGCCTGAGAGTGAACTGGATCTACTTGAATAGATGTAAGTTTACCTTTCTTGGGAGATTTATTTACTGCACTCAGTATCATGCTTCTATGACTGGGCAACACTCTGCTATATTAACCAAATATCCCAATAAAAAAGTAATTGATATGAAAGATATCTGATTGAGACCCTGGAGATTTGTTGCAAGCCAGAGTATCCAATGTAGACCTTGACAGATGAACAGTTTGATGTTATAAGACAGCTTCATGTGTTCAGCTACTTCAGTTGACTTTTATAATAATAATAATAATAATAATAATAATAACAACAACAACAATAATACTTATACTAATAATACTTTCAATTTATTGATCGCTTTTTCCCACTCATGCGGGCTCAGAGCGATTTACAGTTACTCAGACACAATGGACTAACAATGTATTCGTGGGGGATAGGGAAGACAACATACAATATTTAATCACACACACATTGTAGCTGGTCGGAGGATCCATCTGCAGGCTGTATCAGTCATGTCCCGACAGCATGTATTCTGTCAACCAGTCTTGCCATCGTAAGGTTTTATTCATCTGTGCCTCCCCTGAACCATATGTTATCATGTGCCAGTGGTGTCCTTCCCCATTTGCCCTGGACAAACAGGACTGTTTCTATGCAAGAGAATAACTGGACGTAAACCAGACAATTCATAGGGGGAGGGGGATGGCTCCTAAACCATTGAGAATTTCAGCCTCTCTGGATATTCAATAATGAAAGTTCAAAAGTTTCAAAAGAATAAAGCCAGGTTGGTATTTATTTATTTATATATTTATTTACACTGGGGTGTGTCCAAGGATCTATGGGCTTTGTGGAGCAGCATTTTCCTGCTTCCCCCTTCAGCTGCAGCCCACCTGGCCCTCCAAAATTGGTTCCTTGGGGAGCGTAGTCAACAGATCTACACAAACAGCATCAGGGGAAAAGTAGGGGTCTGCAAGTGTGTGTGTGGGAGGATGGGCAGAAATTTCTGCTCCTTCTTCTGCAAACAGAAATGCCATTCTGTTGGAGGAAAGCACAGTTGGATGCATTCCATTAGCAAGTACTCTTCAGAATGTATAAGCAGCATGCACTGGAGAAAACGCCAAATGTGAAGATTTATCATTATGAAGTTTGGACTCAATAAAGACCAGAAGCCATTTCAGAAATGAGTTGTCTCTGTAGAGATTTACAGTTTCTTCTTGCTTTGCCAATTCAACATCTCCTCCGATGAGGTCATTCTTCCTTTTCAGTTGGATGTTTTCGGATATGCTGTGCATTGTAATGTAACACATTTGGTCTCCTCCATTGCTTTGACCTTCATCTTGAAATAATTTGTCCTCTTCCCTTCCTCAGTGTGTACATCTGCCCACTTCAGGGTAACACTTCCTGCACCCGTTGAATAAGAAAGCTTCTTCCACAGTATTTGTTAATCAGTTCTTATTTACCACCTTTCCTCCTGGTTCAAGGCAGCTTACAATAATAGTTAGGAACGTTTTCAGTTAAAACCAAAATAAAATGGCCAAATCTCTCCTCCCTCTTCCATTAAAAGATGCCTGCCCTAGTCCCGCCCTGAAAAGCCCTGGCAAACAAGCAGGCCTATTACAGAAGATCTCCAAGGAGGGGCTGCCCCCTCGCCTCCACTTGAAGCCAGCTGGGTGACCTTGGGTCAGTCACAGGTCTCTCAGCCCCCCAAATAAACCTAGTTTGCTACAAAAAAGGCTAGAGTCTCAGGCTGCCAGACAATCTTTGGATCTATACGGCACCCACTGCCATAGGAGTCACTAATTCAGACCAGCAATTTCATACTAGAATCCTTCACCAGCTCCCTGGCTTATGCCAGCCAGATCTGTTGAAGTACTACTTTCCCCCCAAGACAACCTGTTCCTTTAAAATGTGTCAGTTGGTCCTTGGAGTCCTTGAAGTCTGTGGCTTTGTGTTAGTTCTTCAGAGGCGGCGCTCTGTGGCCAAAGGAGTCCTGTGAGGAGGACCCACACAAAGAATCCATTCAGCTCCCGGCAGTCTCTGGGGGCGCCTCCTTCAGTCCTCCTGCTTTGTCCCTCTAACGGTCCAGCCGCCTCCCTGGCCGCTTTCTCGCTGCTGCGGTCTTTGTGCAAACGGCTGGTCTTTTTGCAACGAGCTCCTAATCGTTCCCCACAAACCAAACTGTTTAAAACTTGGGATCAGGCAGGAAAAAAAAAAAAAAACACCCACCCAAAACATCTGAGTGTGTAAAAAAATTGCTCTATCAACTATCGTCCTGAGATAGGAGGTCTCCCCAGGGCCATACAAGCGCGCACAAGCGTTTCAGTGACCTCAGCGGGTGGTCCCGGTGTTCCAGGAATTTACAAAATACAAATCTTGTTCCACATCCTGGAAATAGAATTAACCGGGGAAGTACAGTTTGTGCCCGGAGCCCGTGAATGGCTGGCCAGATTTCTGATGATGCTGTGCGTTGTTGGCTCCCCCCCCCCGCCCCCCTTTGCACAGTCTGGGAGTGACGCCTGGGACTGTTTTCCTCCTAAGGTTAGGCACCGAGGAGGGAGCCCTCAGATGGTGTGTGCTCGTCGGCGTGCAACGATTGGTCATGGTTGGCACTGAACAGGCGCCGCCTCTGCTGCTTTACAGCCCGATCTCCACGGATTTCACGCGACGGTATTGAAACTTCCCTTCCCAAAGAAGGGTGGGGGGGGGGGGAAAGCCCGGATGATAAAGTCTCACAGAAGCCATCCAAAAAGGTAAGTCTACTCGCATGCTTCTTTGCAACGCTTGTAGCTTCTCGGTCTACCAAACGTTGCTTCTGCCATTCATTTTGAAGCTGTTTCCAGTGGGTTGGAAGAAAGGCTTGCTGAATTTCCTTTCCCTTACAATCAGGCCGGATTGGAAAGTCTGCCAGGGATCCGATAGGAGCTGTGTGGGGAGGGGGGGAATATTGCCTTGCCTTTCGCTTTGAGTGAGCTGGATTTTGTTACATGTCCCAGCAGCAGATAAACCACTTGAGGCTCCTGCTGCGCAGAAATGCCCTGGCAAGGATTTTCAGTGGTGTGCACATTTAAAACACACGTGCGGCTTTTTTTTATTTTTTTACAAGCATCTGGAAGCAAACCTGGGAAATTCTACTGCCTGCAGAACAGAAGCTGTCTAGTCTGATTGTGATGGGTGGGGCAGCGATTTCCCTAAAGACTTCTAAGGACCTTGTACCAAATGTGAAACTCTCTTTGGATCAAGAATAAATGGCAGAAAAGACCACAAGCTGCAGATAAAAAGGAATTCTGGGTTATAAACTACTCCCCCCCCCTTCCAGGTTCTTTAAGTTTGGATTTTTAAAAATTTGTCTGCTTACTGAAACTACACTTTGGGACATGAACAACATTCTGTATTTTAAAGGGTCCCCCCCCCCTTCAGTTTTTATTCATGGGGAAATTGCAGTACATTCAAAATGTTTCCTTAAACCTAATTTGGTACCTCTGTTCTTAATTGTTTGGCATATCAAAAGGCAACATCCTTCAAACACATTTCAGTTCTTTGCAGGTATGAAGTCTCTTAAACTTGTGGAGGATTTGATCTGTAGAAAAGACAGTGTGTGTGGGGGGAAATAGAGGATGGCCATTCCATTTACGTTTGCTTGCCTCTAAAAACTAAATAGTGTTTAATAATCCTGGAAACTGTGGACAATTATTACTACTTGAGTTCTGAAAACAAATGTCACAAGGAACAAAACAATGGGCCTCTTGGGACTGAATAGGGACATAGGATTCTTATCTTACTATAGATGCTAATTTTCTGCCCTCCAAGCATTTCCCCTCGCTTATACCCTGAAAATCTTGTCCGTCTCTAAGGTGCTATTATACTTGAATCTGTTACTCCAGAGACATTGAGCTGGATCCAGCCATCTTTTTCACTCAGTTGCCATCCATGCTACAGCCCCCACCCTGTCCCACATGGCTTTAGTACCTGTGGATCGCATGATTCTGAGCATAGCCTTTTTGAGTGGTCAAAGAGGCTGTCTCCTTTTTTCACCAGTGGAAAAGCCAATTGGATCCAGCCCATTAACTCCTATTAGTTAATGGGCTAGAAAAGCGGCCAGTTAATGGGCTAGAAAAGTGATCCGGCCATTAGTTCTACAGGTCTAGAAAAGTGACACAGAAAAGCCAGAACTTGAATCTCAGTGTTTTACAAATATGCCTGTGGAGAGGAAGTCACAAACACAGAGGAATTGTTTGCAAATCATCTGCCTCTTCTACATTTTTCTTTCTTTCTAGCACAGCTCACAAGGACAATGCTAGTCATCACTTTTAGAATGCTTGAAGTAACGCAAAAAAGAAGCTTCTGAGCTTGTGCAGAGTGTATTTCCTTCCCAACAACGTACACATTGCTTGCTTCCTACACATCTGGGATGCAGGAAACAACTTCTGGAATCCTTGATTCCTAGTACTTCTTTTAAAAATCAAAATTTAGATTGTCACTCTTTCTGTACATTGCTAATGGAGCAACCTTATTGCCAAGTGTAAGAGGGCCACCAGTTTACCGGAATTTACTCCAGCGTAACTCAGTTGTCCTATTTTCTATCAAAAGAGGAATAGAAAGGGGGAAAAAAGCCAAAGATACATTTTTAAGGAACGGTGAACAGAGCAACATCTCCAGATGTTATTATGTTATATACATGATACATTATATATATATTATATCTGATGGAACCCGCCCTGAGCCTGCTATGCAGGGAGGACAGGATACAAATCTAATAAATAAATAAATAAATAAATAAAATAAAATAAGCCATGGTGATGTTGCCACTGTCCATCAGTTACACAGCAACAGGCAGATCATGCAGTCATGTTATCCATATGCGGAAGGAGCCAATCCAGACATGATGAGGCATGTATGCCTCTGGTTCATCACCACACCCAACCACAGACACAAAAGCTGAACAGCTGAAGACACAAACATGACACAACAACCTCAACAATGCAAATCAACTCATTGGATTGCGTCCTCATGTCAGTGAATATTGTGCTATTGTTGCAGTAACAAAGATCATTTGTAATCAGACATGGACATGCCCCTCCAGTTGCAAATGACTGCTGTGGTACAATATCTAGCCATGTGTGGATAGGGGCCATTTGTGGCATTCCCAGTTGCCCTGTGGTGGACATAACTCAGCTATAACTTTGATATGAATGTCTATTAAAAAACCCATTCATAATTCATAACAAAGGTAAAGGTTTTCAGCCCCCCAAAAAAAACCCCCCGAGGAACGTGCTGGAACAGAGTTCTGGAACCTCTTTGACAAAATTCTTTTTAAAATGTTTAAAAGTTCACGAGTTTCCAGTATACAGACCGAAAACTTCATTTCCCTCTTGAGAGTTCCAACACCTCTTTAAAAAAGAAAAGAAAGGAAAAAAGGCCTGAAGCACAATAATCTGAAGTGGGGCAAAAATGGCTAAGCTGCGAGTAACAAAAATGACTGGCAGACCTATGGAGGAGGACGAGGAGGAGAAGAAGAAGAAAGAAGAGATTGAATTTATACTCCACCCTTCACTCAGAGTCTCAGAGCAGCTTACAATCTCCTTTCCCTCCCCACAACAGACACCCTGTGAGGTAGGTGGGGCTGAGAGAGCTCTGACAGAAACGGCTCTTTTTCAAGGACAGCTCTTGTCAGAACTATGGCCTGCCCAAAGTCATCCAGCAGCTGCAAGTGGAGGAGTGGGGAATCAAACCTGGTTCTCCCAGATCAGAGTCCACACACTTAACCACTACACCAAACAGGCTCTCTACGAAATGTGGCTAATAGTATCTATATAGATTACTGGCAGACATGACAAGAGACAAGAGAGGAAACCGTATTTTTAGATTACTAGGAAAAAGGCTCGTTGTGGAAATAAATACAACGGCTTCTAGAAAGAGGCTCTGGGCGAGTGCCCCGGCCTTGGACACTCTGTCAATTTGCTGTGGCGACCTCAGCAGGGTATAATGACACTGAGTCCACCATTTTCTCCAGAGGAACTGATCTCTGCTACCTAAAGAACAGTTGTAATTTTGAGTGATCTCCAGCCCTCACCTGGAGATTGGCAACGATGGTTCCCCAGAAGGGAATAGTTGGTTTGGAGGGTGGAGTCTATGGCTTTGTACCTGTCCGAGGTCCCACGCCTCCTGAAACCTCACCCTCTCCAGGCTCCATCCCTCACCTCTCCAGGAATTTCCCACCTGGAGTTATCAACCCTATCTCCTTCCCAGCCAACCATCAACCTACCTTTCTTTTCCCCTCACCAGCTTTCTACCCCCCACACACCTGCAGCCTCTCCTGTGCTCTGAAGCCCTGACTGCTACGTCACATTGGCTTTCATACGGGGGCCACCTCAGCAGCATATAAGGATACAGAGCCCACCATTTTCTCCAGGGGAACTGATCCCTGCCATCTGGAAAGCAGTTGTAATCCTGAGGGATCTCCAGCCCTCACCTGGAGATTGGACACATTTTACCTCAGAACAGCAAACTGTTTAGAATGTTAGAGGCAAAAGCTAAACAAGTCGCATATGCAAACGACCTCTGTGTTCTGAGGCAAAGGCCAATGAGACTGCATATGCAAATAACCTCTGTGTTCTGACTGGCTATGGGGGGGAGAGGAACAGCAAAATGTTTAGAATGTTGGAGGCAGGACTCAGGCAAAGCAGCCAGTGGATAGGGAGACCCTCTGAATGACAGATCAGAGAGCGAACTGATTTTGGAGCATGTGGAATGTTCTAGAGAAGTGCCACCGCCATTCGGCTTTTATTTATAAGGGAGATTGGTGGAAATGACAGGATACGGGGAGGTAAAATTCTGAGGAAAGTATCTACATATTATCAGTGGATATGACAGGATATGGAAAAAGTAAGAGGCAGAGCTGAGAGGAAGGTGGGTTGAAAGGGTCAGGTTGACATTAGGAGAAGACACAATCCATAGCAAAGAGAGAGAAAGACCATTTCTTAGATGAACTTTACTGACTTCTATGGCCAAAGTGTCAAGAGGTTAAAGAATGAAGGTGGGAAGCAATAGGATAAAGGCCAAACAAGACAAGCTCTCCTGAGTTCCCTGAAAGAAGCTCCCAGTGGCTTTTTCTTTAAATATCAGATGAGTGCTGCCTTTTTTCTGATTTGGACTAGCTGTGGTGGGCAGGGCTTATGCCTTCCCTCCGTGCTGTTTTTCTAAAGTGGCACAATCCCATTTTCAGCTGCTATTTTTTGCCCCAATGGTAAAAACATAGGTACTACCCACATCCATACTTTTATGCTCGTTCTAACACTATGAAAAGCAGCTCCATGGGGCTATTTCAGCTTGGGGAAATGAGGTGGGAGGAAGGGTAAAATTTGCCCTTCCCTTAGGCCATGAATAGGTGGGTGACAAACTGTGGAGACCATATACCACAGCAAGGAAGAAAGATGTGAGAAATTAAACAGTGGAGTTCGTGCCATTGGTGGTGGAAAGTGTTGTCAAGTCACAGCCAACTGCTGGTGACTCCATAGGGTTTTCAAGGCAAGAGGCTAACGTCATTTTCAATTTCCTGCCTCTGCTTAACAACCCTGGACTTCCTTGGTGGTTACCCATTTAAATTCTAACCAGGTCCGACCCTGCTTAGCTACAAGGAATGGATAAGATCATGCTAACTTGGACCATCCAGGTCTGCAGGGCTTAGTGCCATTAGGACAGAGCAGTGCTGTTCAAATGGATACTAAAAGAACCCTCTGGGACAGGCCATTCC